CCCGGGGATGCCCCCCTTCCCCGTGCACCCGGTGCCGCGCCGGCGATGGCTCTTCCCGTCTGTGCCCGCCGCGCTCAACTCACGTCGGACTTTTCCCGGCGGATAAAGCTTCGATAAGCAAAGCCAACGTCACTCGTATCCCCCTCCTGCGCGGGGAGGGATAAATGGGCTCCAGCGGGCTGGGGAACGCCGGGCCGGCGGCGGGGGGGAGAGAGCAAAGCGTGGCTGGGGATGACCGTGGGGATGGAGCTCAGCCCCAAGGAGGAGGAAAAAACCTGGACATAGCCGGTTTAAAACCCCGACGGGTTTAAAAGAAGGCTAAGTAGTGCAAAAGTTTTCTTCTCGAGGTGAGTTTTACCTTCTGGAAGAGAAATACGCGGAGGATGGAGCCCACCGGCCACGGTGCGCGGGGGGTACCTAGTCTCTAAGGGCTGGATAAAGCCCAGGGCAGCCCCCCAGCTCCTCCAGCGATGCCGTCGTCAGTCTCCAGAACTTCAGGGCAGGAGCGTTGCTCCCCGGGAAACTTCTCCGCTGGGATTCAGGCAGGTTTTGCTCTTCTCCATCCTCGCTCCCAGCCCACACGGAGCCCCTTTCAGTAGCGTTTCTATCCGCCAAGCGCTTTAGTTTGAACACACCGGGCTCTAACTCGGGGGGGTTCATTCTGTATTAAGTCGCTACGTGTTTTGATTTCTTGTTAATCAACAAAGCAATGCCCCAGTCATCCCTCAAACACATAAAAAGCTTTTCTCGCTGTACAATACTTTCCCTAATGTGTTAAAGGTGGAAAAGGTACCATTAAAATAATAATAATAAAAAAAGACAAAAGATACATTGCAAAAACGCAAGGGAGGGAGAAAGTCGGAGTGTTAGTTCACGTCGAGGTATAAAATTGCTATTGCTGGTGTAGCCCAGGAGGAAAGAGGTTTCTCCAGGTGTGAGGGTGGTAAGGGAGGCAGTCCCGGTCCCGGTTTCACCAGAACGACGTGCCGGCACTGCTGCAAAACCAATTTGCAAACTAAACCCCTCTCCATTTCTGCCTGCCCCCCCGCCTGCCGTACAGCATCCCTCCAGAGATGCTCAGCACCGTCCACTATTCCTGCCAGCGCTATTTGGCATGTTACGGCTACCGGAGACATCGCCGGGCTTTTTTTTTTACAAAGCCCCTAACATTAGTGCAAATTAGAAAGAGGGGAAGGAGGGGGCGATGCGGCCACGCGCGGGTTAAGGAGCGCGCCAGAAAAACGCGATTTACTCTTTTGCTGTAAACCCAACCGTCAGTCCCCAGGTTTGCTTTCGGCAGCAAAAGTGTTAAAAAAAACCCCCCAATTCTCAGCCGACCCTTTCGATTTACAAAAGCTTCCTATCTCCTGCAAATTATTGCAATAGAAATGTGCTTTTTTTTTTTTTTTTTAAAAAAAGAGGAATTATTTGTGCTCTTATGCCACCGCGCAGCGGATCCTCTGCCAGGAGCCAGGTGCGGGCACCGCTGAAGCGAGCATCTTCAAACCCAGCCCCAAATTCTTGCTCTCAAACGCTCGCAGCCCTCGCTCGGCCCCGTCCTCAGCGGCTTCGCCCTGCTCACGGATTTCCTCTTTTTTTTTCCCCCCCCGTTATTTCCAGGGATTTGAGGTTTTGGCCAAAGCTGCCACCAGCCAGAGCCTTGCTGGGGAAAAAAACCCATTTGCAGAGGAGGAACATGGTGAGGATGCTGCGCAGATGACGGCGTGGGAGGACGGGTTGGCTCGGAGCCGGAGCGATCCGGGCAGACACCGGGAGCGCTCCGGGAACGACGGGGGTTTGGGATTCAGCGCGGTACATCCTGCGGGCAAAGGGCTCTTCGCACGATGCATCTCTGGCGCCGGCGAAGCGATTCACATCGCCGTCGGACCTTCGGAAATCTCCTCCAGCCTTTGCTCGATCATCAGCCGGAGGATGGAGTATCTGCAGAGGTGAAGGATAAGGAAAGGAGAATTTTGGATTTTTGCAGCATCAAGCTGGGCTTTTAACCCAAATTGCCAAGAAAACCCCGGAATAATACAAAACCCAACGGCTCATGCACGCATTAGGGATGCAAGGCTGTGCAAACGAGTTTTTGGCACCGAAATAACCCCCCGACAATGTCCTCAACTCTCAGCATCTCCTCTCGATGCCACCAAGCCCGGCGTACTTGCGCATTAGCTTCTTCACTTCACGATCCTCCTCTTCCTCCAGCTTCTGGATGAAGCTCCTGAGGACAGGCATCTCGAATTTGATGTACTGAGCAACCTGGGTGGGAGAGAGACGCCAAGTCGGGTGATGAAGAGGGTGATGCACCGACCCTGTGAGGCTGAAGGTGACCTCGCGGCATCCTCTCCCCAGGTTTAAGCCGGGAAATCAAGGACCCCCACAATTTTTGCAACAAACCCTAAAAGTAAACCACGTTTCCTCTGCATGGCGTGAGCATCAGCTTGTGCAAACGAGCGCTAGCTAATTATTGGGAAAAAATCCACCTGAGATTTATTTTATTTTACCCACTGGCTGCAAGACTTGGCTCCTTCGTACGGGAGCCCTGCGCACCCCCAGCGCGTCACTGCGTGCTGTTTAAGCCCCGACACACCCCAAAAGCACCTCCCGTGTGCTGTGATTTCAGGGGAAAGCAGCGCCGGGGCGGGAGGGAGCGGCAGACGGCCCCGACGAGCCGTTCCCCACCCGCACCGCTCGCCCCGGCTGGAAAAATATTAATTATGGCAAAGGCTGCGCCGCAATTGCTGCTCTGCCGTCGCACCCGGGATGGCGAAACGAGGCTGGGGGCGTTTGCTCTCGGTTGCCGTTCAAAGATGCTCTTTAAGCACAAACCAAGGGTTTCCCCGTAAGGCGGGGAGTTTTCACAGGGAGACGTGGGAGCAAAGCAAAGCAATTCCCCCATCCCCGGCATGGAGACGTCCCCTCGGGTTTTCAGCCCTGGCCGCATCCCGAGCCCATCCGAAAGCCACGAGCATCCCGTGCCGGCAAACTCACGTCGTAGGTGACTTCTTCCACCTGGTCCTTCTCCATGAGGAAGACCTTGGAGACCTGCTCGCAGGGGCCCTGCAGGATGCGGGCGATCAGGGGGTAATCGCTGGCTCGCAGCTTCTGCTTCTCTGCAACGCCAAAAGCACCGGCGTTCGGCCCGGCAGACGGCACGGCTTTGCCGTGGCCGACCCGCCGGCTATGCCAGGGGGGGATTTTTTTCCAGACTCACCTCCGCTGGTGTGGACGATGTACAGCGCAAACTCCTCCGCTGAGTTCTCAATCTGAACAGAGACACAGATCACTGTTAAAGGTCCAACGTCTCCCATGCTAGACTTTCCCAGCAATTAAAAAAAAATAAAAAATCCCCTTATTTGGCTCCGCTGTTGCATTTTATGTCCATGGGATATAACCTCCCCGTGCAGAGCAACCCAGGAGCGAGGGGCGGGGGACATCCACCGTACCTTGAATTTATTGAGCAGCAGTTTGAGGACCTGGGGGGTCGTCATCGTGCTGTTTATCCGGACGTTGGTGATGGAGCCGTACGCCGGCGTGAACACGGACGTCTACGGGGCGCAAAGTCCATTTAAACACCGCCCTGGATCTCCCCACCCATCCGTCGGGAGAGGTTTCGGGGGGCTTGGGGCTCACCTTATGGTTGTAGAAGTGCCCGTTGATGGAGAAGCGGTGACGGCGGATGCGGCGCTGCTCGCTGGGGGTGCGGGCGCTGCCCCGGCGCC